TAAATTATTTAGCTATTTTTAATGTTTTTTGTTTAAGATTTTTAGTTATAGAAATATTTAAATAATATTTTATTTTTTAATGTTAAATTTTTATTATTCGAATAGCATTTAAATTGAATAATTCGTAAAATTGTAATTTATATTGTTACTACATAATTTCATGATTTTTTTGTAAAAATATTGAATTATTAATAATATGAACATTATTAAATCTATTATTTTTTGTGTTTTGAATAAATATTTGAAATTTAGTATATAATTTTGTTATAACATTTAAATAGTTCTGAATTTTTTACTTGAAACTTTATTTAGATAGATATAGATAAAAAGTGGGGAGAGGATAAATAGGAATTAGAGATATTTTAGGTGAGAATATCTCCACTAAATTAGAGATAATTTAAGAGATAAATAGGAGTTAGAGATAATTTAGGAGATAAATAGGAATTAGAGAAAATTTAGGAGGAAGTGGGGGAAAGTGCTGCCACTTGGCTAAATATTAGAAAAGTAAATCCCTCTTTCTTTATGGTTGTTAAAAATAATTAAGTATATGTGATTTATTTATTGATTTAATGGGTAACTAGCAGGGACCCGTGTTATTAAGAGAAAGATAAATAATAAAAAGGGTCATACACTAAAATACCCCTTATAGTTTCATGGATTTACTAAAATCTACCCTATAATTAGCATTTTACTAAAACACCACTTATAATTTGCAATGGATTTAATCAATTAGGTGGCAGTGGAAAATGATAGTGTTGATCCTAATGTTCATTTAACTAAATTTAATCAAAAGAAAATAAAAATAAAAATACCATTTTTGCCCTTAATAAGACATGGGCAATCACTCTATTGGCTACATTTGTTCAATTTTGTTTTTTATGCAAAAAAAAATGTTAGGGGTATTTTTGGAATAAAAAAATCATGGGCCTAAGGGCAAAACAAACACTCCTTATTGAAATCATGGGCCTAAGGCCCCGACCTCGATTCTGAAATTAACCCCCATCCCCGATCCCTGACGGGGATGGGTTCCCCTTGGGGACTTGAATCTCCAAAATGTATTGAGATAATAGTATTTTTTTAAATAAATAAAAATTATAAATTATAAATAATGTTTTAAATATGTTTTGATATATATATATATATATATAATATAAATAATATAATAGTATATTTAATATAAATAACATTTAATATATAAACACACACACACACACACATATATAATCAGGGCCGAGGTGGGGTAGGGACCTCAATCCACATCCCCGACCCCGACCTTGACCGGGGATTCCTATTAATCCTCGTCCCCACCCCCGCCCTRCCAAAACAATCCCCATCCCCAACCCCATTGGGTTGGGGAAGTCAGGTTCTCGTCGAGGATGGGGAAAATTTCCATCCCTAAAAGTATGTTCTAATTAACAAATGACCCTAATAGAAACACATAAGAGTATACAATTGTTTTATATTTATAACTTTTAAAATAGTTAATAATTATTCATATTTTATATACTACTTTTAATAAGATTTTTATAATATAAAATAACAATAATTAATTTCAGTTAGGTTTATTTATCAAACTGATGAAAACAACTAACTCAATTAACTCAACTCGAGTTGGTCGGTTTTCTAGTATTTTAGGTTGGCTTTCTAGTATTTTAGGTTGGCTTTGGTTAAAAAATTTCTCAATTCAACTAAGTTGGATCAGTTCCACTTTGACCATTTGTAAATTGACCAAAATTGAACGACCTAACCATGGATATATATATTAATATTTTATATTTTAAATATAATTTTTAATATGAAAAAGTGG